ACTTATGATTTATAATACAGACAAACACACAAATCCATTTTATTTCACTGTGATTTAATATGATAACAAAATAATTTGAAAAGAGTTAGAGAGACACATTAAATATATTCCTGTCTTTGGGAATGCAGATATTTTGACACTTACATGTGAGATATTAAAAGAGGAAATTCTCATCATGAACCACCAAATTGAATGTAAATAACTTAAAGATTTTCACAGGTAAAAGTTACAATTTATTTACAAGGATGACCAAGTTCTATTGCTGATATAATTTAAAGATAAGAACTTCTTGCAATAAAAGAAACTTGTCACTTAGAAACTTCAAGTGCTATTTCATTGATTCATTCATCATTCAATAAATATTTACTATGTGTCAGTCACTTCTGCAGACAAAACAAAAATCTCTGCCCTCATAGAACTGACAATAGTGGAAGAGGAAGCAACAATAAAGCCATAAAGGTACATGCAACGTAAAGAATTATATCGAGTAATAAATACTAAATTTAAAAGGAAAGCAAAATAGGGAGGTACAATTGCTGTAGATGAGAATATATATAGTTAATATGGTCAGGGAGGATCTCACTCAGAAAATGACATTCAGGTAATATGACCTACAAGAGATCTGGAGGGAGAAGGAAAAACAAAGCAAAGGGAATTGGATTGATTTTAGGAATCATCTCTTCCAAAAAGCCTTCCTAGGTCCTATTTCCCCTGGCTGGGCTGGTGATGATAAAGTTAGTTTGCTAAGTGTCCCTCAAAGGTCTATGTGTTTAGGGCTTCATCCCCAAAGTGATGCTATTGGGAAGTGGTGGAATTGTTTGGAGGTAAGTCCTAATGAGAGGCCCTTATGTCATGGGATGCATGCCCTTGAGGGGACTGTATGACCTTGGCCCCTTCCTCTTTCTCTTCTGCTTCCTAGGCATGAGGTGAAGAGTTTGCTCCATCACACACTCCCTGCCATTGCCATCCAATGTACCTATCATAGGCCCAGAGCAATAATAGGTCCACCTGATCTTGGCCCAGATTTTCCAAAATTATGACCCAAAATACACCTTTTCTCTTTGTAAGTTATCACAAGTATTTCAATATAAAGGAATGTAAGTCGGCTGCTTTCCCATTGTGTTTGCACAGAATGTAGCACTCAGTTCTGTCATATACCTTGTTTTACATTGAAATGGTCTATGTACATATGCTTTCTTAGCTCCTTGACAGTAAGAAATGGCTTCCTTTGCTCTTCATAGGGTTTGGCATATGAAAAAAAAAAATATTTGTTGAATGAAAGATGGGTCTTAAAATGGGGGTCAAATCCCCCTATACAAAAGCCTTGATGAAAGATTGTTTAAAATATTCAGATTGACAAAAAAGATCACAGTTTCTCAAAAGCTCTGCTTCTGAATCATTCTGGAAATTTTTCAGATTGTCCACATCACTAAGGCAACTTAGCCTACAATTTGTTGCTTCACTAATTAAATTTAAAAAAAAAATGCTAACTAACTTAATCAAGTTTTACCTAGCCAGAAACTCCCAGGAGAAATGAAACAGGGGAGATTAAATAAGTGATGTACAGAGGCAGTTCTTTTTGTTTGTTCTCAGTGGCATTACCTATTAAATCTTTCTTTCTCGGCCTTCCCTGCTTGATGAAATAAAAGCCACAGGGAACGGGGGAGCAGGTAATCAAAGTAGCGCACAAGGCTCTCTCTCTTTCCTAACAGTTCTTCCTTTAGTACTTTGGAGAAGAAAAGCCTGAAGAGTCAGAGGCTGTCAGCGGGTGAGAGAAACAGTCCTTTTAAGTACTTTGATGTCAGGCTAAACTGAAGCCAGTGAACTAGTACAAACGTCAAGAGTCTAAGAGTCTAGACTCAATATTTGAAAGTAAGATGAGTTAGCAAAAAAGCTTCTAAGCAAAACATCTGTGTGTAATTATCATACACACTTATGTAATAAATGAATTTAAAGAGGAAGCACCAAAAAAAAAATGAGACTGGCAATAATTCTTCTCAGGTTTCTCTAAAGCTTTTTCTTGGACTCTGATGTTTGGGTATGTATCAAATTCAAGATGTTGATATAGATAATATTTTTACAATATGTAAACAAACTTCCAAATCTGTATTCCAATTAAAATTTAAAAGTGTCTTGGGCTTCCATATTCATAAAATGAGACTGCGGCAATATGCCCAAACCATAGAAACAAGTTTTTAATCATAGATACCATAAACCTCTTCTAAAAGCAGAAAATGCACAGCTAAAATAAAACAAAGTATAATATCTTTTCCTGAAATTTCTATTATCTCTTATATTAAAACTCAGCCTCACATGAATAACAAACACATTTGATAATGGTGGACCTTACAGCCCACTGTGAGCTCTGTTTCTGCATACTGCATTCCACAAATATGCAATTCCCTCTTACAGACCAATAAATATACCAAATGAGATAGAGCCGTTTTGTTTTGTCTTTGTCGTGGGCTGCTTAGCATTTGAACTTCATTCTTCTTAAACTGGAATTTACCTTGAGTCCTAGAAGGAGACAGAGTCCCAATTCCCATAATGAAATCAAAAGACAATAAACTCTTTCCTCCCCAAGACCTGGTACTCTAGATATGTGACATAAGTTTGTCCAACTAGATGCTCCTGCTTTGTCTTTCACTCTAGAAGGATTGACTCAGGCAACAAGTCAAGGTAATGGACAATCAGTGGATTTTCCTTAATGCTTCACTTTTGCTCCTTCTCCCCTAGGGTATGACATTTTTCTGAGACTGGTACTTCACTCTTCCCTTTTCATGAGTTCTTTTGATGTCTGAATTAGCTAAAGTTGAGAACTATTGCTGCAATTTCTCTGATACACAGCCTGACTAAACTGATTTAACTCTTCTCTCTTGTTTACAACAACTCAAGCATTGGGGAGGTAATTATTTTGTCTGAGTTGCCTTTCTTAAATTTTTTTTTGCAAAGATAAACAGGAATATGCTGATGCAAAATAATATAATTTCAGAGAGCCAAGAGAATGGGTGAAGCTACCTAAAAACCAAATGAAACTCTTAAATAGGATTCAATAGGCAAAAGCAGAGAATCTAACTCAAAGAACCCTTCATTTAAAAGCAAATGCCAAACCCTAGCATTCTAACAGGGCTGCTCTTTTGAAAGTTATCTTTGGCTGAGTTCTGCAAGGTTTTCAGCCCTTCCTAATCCTTGAACTGGAGAGAAGCCCCACCTAGATGGTTAAGATGTTTAAGTCTTTAGATTTAGAGAACCAAGAATATTGGATGAGCTTTGCAGTGTCCCTTTTCTTAGTCTTTAGTTTTATGACAAGAGCGAGCCCAAGGAGATCAAGGTCATTGCATGTTTCAGAAAAAAATAAAAGGCACAGCTCCAGAACTCCAAAGACCCAACTCAACACATAGCCTTCTTACCATACTTCTGTTCAGCCAAGTGACAGCATGGCAGACTCTGCACACCGGTGCTTTATAACCAACGTCAAGTTTACCATCCAGGGGACATTGCTTTATAACCAATGTCAATTTTACCACCCAGGGGACATTGACAATGTTTGGAGACATATTTAGTCTTCATGACCTGGGAGATGGGGGTGCTGCTAGCATCCAGTGCGTAAGTATGCAGCTAATCACACTAAAATATCCATAACAGTTCTCTTCAAAAAGAATTTCTGGTCCAAAACACTGAGATAGAAATTTAGAATAAAGAGAGATCCTGAATCTTAAAGGAAATGCCCACAAGCCTCAGAGATACAGAAAGCACAGTTATAAATCTTGAGCTTGAGAGACATGCCCTTGACCCTTGCCCTTGTAAAATAAGGAAAATGCACAAGCAAAAAAAAAAAAAAATGGGGGCAAATTGTGGAGCTCCACCCTGCCTCCTAGCACGGACCCTCTATAAATATTAACACCCCACACAAATGGGTTGCTGTTGTGCCTGTGGAGATGGCCAGCATTCTTCCTCAAGTGCATATTACTTGCTTTGCAGCAAAAACATCTCTTTTGATGCCTTTGAACATTCTCCCTTGAATGTGTAGCTACTTTTCTAAATAAACCTGTCTATGACTTTGAATGGCATGTACTTAAATTCTTTTCTGTCATGTATGCCAAGAATCCTGCTGGTCCTTAGTTGAGATATTTCTTCTCCTACAACAATGTCAGTAGTGTCAAAATGGGAAAACCCTGCCCTACAGCATTATCTCCCTTTAAATCATGTACAAATAAATGCCATGACCCACAGTTAAAATAACTTTCCCACAGTCTACAATACCCACTTTTATAATTACATCTGAAAACTAATTCAAAATCTTCTCTTATGTTAAAAGAGGAAAAGTCTTATAAATCATCTGTCAACATCATGATCCACCTAAGAACTACATAGATGAGAAAGAATTAAAAAGAGCAAATAAAACAAAATAATGAGCATATGCAAGGAGCTACAAGGGGCCAGGAGTATCTGAAGGACTAAAAGGAGTTGTGTTCATGCCAAGAAAGACTTTTAAGCAAGACAGAGAAATATATTGTTTCTTCAGAAGAGAATTCTGGAATCACTTAGAGGATAATCTAAAATGAGCAGAGCCTCTTGGATCCTGCAAGAATGAGGAGTAGCCACTTTCAACCATGGCGATGGCACTAAGGTGAAGAACAAAGGCTGGGAGCGGACTTAGACATATTCTCGAGATCAGTTCACCTCTATCTGCAAAACAAACATCTTCCAGTGCTGTGAAGTATAAATTAAAGGGTTAAAAACAGTTCAAATGAGGGGTTGGGATTGTGGCTCAGCGGTAGAGTGCTCACCATATAAAAATAAATAAGTGAAATAAAAGTATTGTGTCCAACTACAATTAAAAAATAAATATTTTTTTAAAAACAGTTCAAATGAGTTCACACACTTGCATTCATTTGCAAGGTGCATCTAAAGGAAAACATGGTAAAATATTTTAGAGTTTGCATAATGAGAACATGTGCATAGAACTTCTAATATAAAGAGAAAGCTTATGACTTTACCTGCTCCAGGACTTCTTTATAAGTTATAGTTGCTTTAGTATTTGTAACAGGACTGTCATAGATGATAGCAATCTTATCCCCTTTACCATTTTCAATATGACGATCAATGGCATTATAACAAATGTTAAGCATTCCTTCCACAAACCTGAAAAAGAATTGTGAAGTAAAAGTGAGAAATTCTTTCCAAAATATGTTGTTGCTTAACTAGGTTACTCTATTTCTAGTTTGGCAGAGCTGGCTGTAAAACTGTGTTTTCTAGTGCATGCTATGCTAGGTAATGATGGCTGTAAAGTACATATTTAAGATGGCACAGAGTGCACATTTTTATTTTAATAAATATGTATTTATTTTGATGTACACTGGGAAAAATATATTTCGCACTTCAAACTGACATCTTTGTGGATTTTATGGCTTAGGATGATACAGGAGTACAGAATACCAAAGTAATCTATTTTACATAGATGAAATGAATCCTATATAAGTGCAATGCAGAAGCATTAGAGATTATGGAAAGAGAAATGGTAGATGTACGACTGAAGTTTTGGTACTTGCTGCAAATAAACTTACTGGCAAATCCAATTCTTTGAAAGGGCTATGTGTATGTTTTGTTTTAATTTAATGTGAAGACATCAATTGCATATCAAATAGAAAAGCCCTTTTCTGCATGTCTGAAATGCTTCATAACTGAAATAAAGAATGGGACATGCACATAAAATGTTAAATAATTTTCAAAATCTTTTGCAATTAATTTCTTCTTTAATTTGTTAAAGCCTTCCTTTGAAACACAGACATCATATAGCTAAACAGAGTTTTTTTTTTTTTTTTAAGAAAATACGGCTCATTTAAAAAAAAAAAAAAACGTTTTGTAACTTCCACCTTTTTTTAGAAGGAGGGGATTCAAAAAAATATGCAAGATTGCCAAATATTATAACAAGGTAAAGTAACAGGAGAACATAAAAAGCAAGAAAAAAAGTCCTGTTAAAAGCTCAGAATTGCCTTCAAGGTTTCACAAAGGACCTGTGTGAAACGAGGCGGTACATTAAAAGCAACTATAAGTACAGTGGCAGTATAAGGAAAAAGACAGATACATTACACAGTAGGAGGAAAACCATTTAATCAGCTCAAACAATAATACTGAATATGACTGTACAATTCACTAATACCGAATATGACTATAGCATAGCACACTATACAATTAATACAATACGTAATTTCCAATTGTGATAGATTCAATATTTGTTCAAAAATGTTGTTTATTCCCCTTACTCTACTTCCACCAAAAAAGCTTTGTATCTTCACCTTGCTCCCTGCTCTGTGAGTGGAGAATACACCTCTTGGTTTTGGTTTGCCCAGGCACTTCATTTAGCTCATACAAAGTCAACAGAGGCTTGGAAATCATTTGTATGATTGGGCTGCTGCTCTCCTGCACCTCTACCTTTCTCAGGAAGATCTGCTTCCTCAGCATGGCACCAGAATATAAATTTGCAGTTGGGAACAGAATCCAAAAGAAACAAGAGTGTTCAGTCTAACCAGATATGTCATGGAGCAATGCTCCCAACTATGCCCATCTTAGATTGTCTGACCTCAGAACAAATCTGCAAATATATAAAAATCAAATTGCAGAAATTGTATCCTTACTCATTAAGCAACATAACTGTAGCCAAAATTAACTAATACACCAAAAAGAAAGGTAAAATCTGCTTGACATTCTCTAGGAGAAGTAAGGTAAGATATTTATGCAGAATTTCCCATGAAAATAATTATTCACTTTATTTGTTCAAGTTTCCAAAAAGAAAATATTTCATATTCCATATTAATAGACTATTTGCTTGCTGGATAATTTCTTTTTTTCTCTCACTTCCTCCCCCCCTTTTTTCTTCTATCCACCTTTGCTTCTTTCTCTGTGGGTCCTCCACCTTTCCTCCTCCCAGACTTGTGTACTTTAGAAGTTGCCTGTAGACTTCTTAATGATATCACTATTCTATTTTATTTTTTCTAATTTATGGCTTCTTTATCACTCTTTTTTGCTCAATATTTAATTATGTTCATGAAATTTAAAAAAAAAAAAAAACAGGTAACAGTACTCCCTTTGATCCAAAGAGTCATGGAAGATTGACTCTATAATTTACTTTATGTACCTACTTCTTTGCTTGCTCTTTCTCAAATATCTCCTGTGGAATCTTCTTCCTTGACCTCATCTTTAATTAGCTGTAATCTTGCCAATTCCATATGCCCCTTTTGCTTTTGCTACATTCTCTCCCTGGGTGATCACTACACCTCCTTGACTTCAACTTCCATTTCTTCTTTCATCTCTGATCTCATTCCAAGCTCCACACCCTTATAGCCAGCAGTCTAGTGGACATCTCTACAAGGAAAAAATAACTTGTTGAAGACTAATCATTTCACACCACGGTCTAACCTCTCAGTCCACCCCAACTGCATGCCTCCTTCTCTTCCTATTTTCTATTTTTCTATAACCTAAAATAGAAACCATTTCTTGGTTCACTTGAAAGAGAGAGAAGATTTTGTTTGTTTGTTTGTTTTATCTTTTCTTTTTTAGTGTGCAGCCACTGGTGTTTTTAGGTTGCCAGCATCTCCAGCAACCAGTCTTGGTTATATAAGACAAAAAAGAAAACCCAGGGAATGGATTGCCATGCCATTCTTCCTGTCCCCAAATTCCTAGAAGGTTGACCTTTTCTTCATTTCAATGTCTTCTTATCTGTGACTGAAGTATAATGTCCTAGATTTTAACAGTATTTAGCAGTATGAATAAGAAGTATATTTTCTCCATCTTGTCCTGAAACCAGAAGTCCTTCATTTTTATTGAATGTCTACTATAGGCCAAGTCTTATATGTGTATCAAAAAAATAACCCTTCCCTTATGAGGTAGGTACTATTATTAAGCCCATTTTACATACAAGGGAACTGACGACAGTAACTTGCTCAGGGCAGGTGGCATAGAACCAAGCCCTTAAACATTATATAGTAGTACTTCTATAGGCGGTATTTGAGCAACTTCATTTTTCTTTTCAGTTGTTTACAACTTTTGGATAGCTTACAGGTAAAATTATTAATACCCTAAGATTTTCTTCTTGAAGATCACCCTTAAAGAAATTTAATATAAAATTAAAAATATCTTTTGGGGTAGGAAGGAAATCAACACAGGGAAGAGCCTATAAGTAGTATTGAGCAGAGATGCTGCAGGAGATAGATTGGCATGATGCCAAGGTGGCTCCAACTAAGGAGTACACAGACATAGATTGGCTCAACTCAGAGATGGGCATCCTGTGGATGACTGCACCCAGACAACTGCAAGGGGTCTCTTGGCTCAAAGATTTGACTATTCTTCTATGACAAGATTCTTACTTCATTTTAAATCAAATCATTTCTGTAAAGGTCAACCAAATGCCTTCTGTGTGCTCTCCACTGTGCCTTCTAAATATGTGGATAGTTTTTAAATGATTTGTCTCCCCAGATTTTAAAAATACCTAATGCTCATGTAAAAAGACAAGAAAATATACTTTGGAATATTTTATTTTGTTCCTCCTATATGGAAACATTACTTGTTGTGTAGATAATTTGATAATTTGGCATTGTGCCTCCATAGTAGGGATTGCATTATGAGCTTGTTTCAAGAAACTGACAAATTTTCAAAAATCATGTTTAATAATGATAAGATTCCAGTCAGTGGCTACTCAATAATAAAGTTAGTCCTTGACAACTACTTTTCACAGCATTATCACTATTTTCAATGATCCTAGGATAATATTTCTTGAAGAAAAATATTAGTCACATTGTTTTTTAAAATCACAATTCCAGACTATCGTCCTACAATAGACCACACACATACACGCACACAATCAAATAATCAAATAATCGAATTGCTTTCTGGTAATATAAAATCAATTTACATTACCATCAGAATTACCTGAGTTTCCATTTCATCACACTCCTCTAAACATGAATTATTCCCAATTTTCTTTAATTTGAAAAGTGAAAAATGACTTTATATTTTTCTTGGTAACTCGTATTGATTAAGTACAGTGTCTTACCAATTTTGAAAGCTCTTTATATATATTGTTATTGAACTTATGTCTAACAATGTTACAGATGATTATCTCAGTTTATTCACTAATTTTAATTCATGTTTACTGACATGAAAATATTTTAAATTTGTATGTGGTCAGATAAATTAATTTCCTCTTTTTTCCTTTAGATTCATTCTTTTGATTTCATCTTTAATATTAATCACTTAAGTGTCCCAATAATTTTTTCATATGGATATACATATGCATATAATTCTGTCATATATATCACACATGCTTTACGTTATGTGTATGTATTATGATGCAAAAATATAACCATGTTTGTTTACTTACTAATAGTTCATTTTGTAAGCATAAATTTTTGTTGTTGTTTTGGTTTTATTTATTTGTTTGTTTGTTTTGGTACTAAGGATTGAACCCAGAAGCACTTTACCACTGAGCCATATCCCTAACCCTTTTTATCTTTTATTTTGAGACAGGGCCTCACTAAGTTTCTAAGGTTGACCTCAAATTTGCAATCCTCCTGTCTCAGCCTCCCAAGTTGCTTGGACTATATTTATGCACCATCATGTCCAGCTCCAAGCATCATTTTTTGATTAATCTGTCTTCATTCATTTGTGTTACTCTATTCTTCTGGTATATAGTAGCATCCAATATATTCTAGAATCTTTTTCAGAGCTCTACAGCTTTCTAGAATGTTCTGTCAGTGGACTCATTATTTTTTTTTTTTTAAAGAGAGAGTGAGAGAGGGGAGAGAGAGAGAGAGAGAGAGAGAGAGAGAGAGAGAATTTTTAATATTTATTTTTTAGTTCTCGGCGGACACAACATCATTGTTGGTATGTGGTGCTGAGGATCGAACCCGGGCCGCACGCATGCCAGGCGAGCGCGCTACCGCTGAGCCACATCTCCAGCCCTGGACTCATTATTTGTTCTCTCCTTTAACTTCAGTCAGCTTTTAGTTCTGTTGAACAAAGGAAGTCGTCATATTCTTTATCCTATACCATTCCTCCAAGAATTTCTTTCATAGAAAATTGCAAACAAGCTGAACATACCCCATAGCCCATTTAAGAAAAAAAAGTAGATAAAATTAAAACTAAAC